CATTTATTTTTATATTTACTATCATAAAATCACATAACGCTGTTTGCTAGTGGACTACTCATATGTGGTATATGGCGTATATGTACATGTACATACATATTTACACATCTAAATGTAAAGTAAAGAATTCTTTTAAAAGCGTCACTTAGCGCCAAAATTAGTTTTGGGACAGTGTATGTACATAAATATTGCTTCCGCTTCTGGCTTTTCATACGTTCATTATTATTTATCTTAGTTTCAATTTAACTTTTAACTTTATTTAATTTTGTCTATTTTTTTTCTAATTTGTTTGAAAAGTGTGTTCTTTGTTTGCTAGTTGATCGTGGTACTATGCTATAAATATTCTTTGTTTTAAGGGGTGTCTTTTTCTGTCATCACATGTTTTTGCGCTTGCTTTAGAAAAACCTATATATATATATATATTTAGGGGACTCACAAGACACCTTAAATGTCGTAAGATTTTTCAATATAAATACGTAAATTATTTATAAGCGATTTGTACCTATTTATTAACTTATCAATTTAATTGAATTTGAACTTTATAACTATATTATATAATTAGGAAACCCTCTAAAAAATATTTTCTGCACAACATTTCCTTGGACCTATTTCAAATGGCACCAATATTTTAAAGTTAAATAGATGACAACGCTCTTTACAAATATTTTCGAATAAAACCTTCTTAAATTTACAACTGCTTTGTAACATTTTATTAAGCTTATCGATTTAATTGATTTTGACTTAAAACCCTCTGGCAACCCTTTTCGAAATATTTTCGAAGCAAAGCTTTCGTTAACCTTTGTGCCACGCCCACTTGTAGACACTTATCCCCTTTTATTTTACCATAAGCGGCTACTGACTCCCATATTGTGGAACATATTTCAATTACCTAGTCTCCTTATTCAATTTGAATTGACTTTTTCGCAGCTTGCAGCCCAACTACTTGTAGTTTTGCAACGAAGCTTTTTCCAAGCCATTTCGATTGATATCCATATTGGAATAATTAATTTAACTTATTGAATATTTTAAATTAAACTTTTTAAACAGGTGGCAACCCCCTTTAAAATGTAGCTACTAACCTTTTTCTCGACGGAACGAACAGGTACATATGTAGGTACGCGTCTTTGCACAATCGGATGTATGGTCTCTACGTCAATACAGTTCTACCTCAGTTGCCACCCCACTCCTTAAAAAAAATCGCATGTGTTACTTCATTGAAAACAAATTGGTTATATTATATTTTGTCCCCAATTTCATTCAAATCCATAAAGCTGTTTTTAATACACTACTAAACAAAATAAGAATTTAAAATCTGATTATAAATGAAAAATTTATAAAAAATTTCAACATTTCAAGATATTTTGTGCCATTACTCAGACACTTTAAACTTTTTATGAACAATTTATATGCATTAGACCGTATCACAAAAACTTCCCTTACAACGGTGCTTCAATTATAGAAACCGGACACCAAATAAGGAAGTTATAAAAAAGATGTAGATGTTTTTACAGGGTGCCGAAATCGCTGAATGTTCGCAATCGCTTGGGATTAAATTGAAATTTTTTCGGCCCATTCATCGTAAGCAACGAATTGATTTCTTTTCTTATACAACTCACTTTTCGGATGTGAAAGCTACTAGTTTATGCCTCAAAAATGAAAGAAAGAGTGGTTTGGTCAAAAGTCCAGCTCTCGAGGGTCTACCGGAAGTTTCAACTGTTCTGCTGGATATTATATATTAGACCCTGGAAAAATTAATTTGCAATCTTATTGTATTTTGTGACATAGTGTTATTTCTTGCAATTGACAATAAACCCAGTTGAATAAATGCTATTTTTCCATAAGCCTGAAACGTGTGTATCTCGATATTTACATATACATATAACGAAAACAAATAAATTGCCAAATATTTTGCAAATAATTTAAAGAGTTTAAGTAAACTAAAGATGCAAGTATAAAAATAGGAAAATTTCGCGAATTCAGCGTAGTTAATCTTAAACTGTACTTTAGAATATGTGCTAACTGTTCCACAATTTAATTTTCAAGAAGGTTTTAATCAAAAAACAAGAAGCAGCATGCGTCTTTTAGTGCTGTTGTCATTTTTGTCCTTAGTAGCAGTGTCCTACCAACAGACGTCGACGTCTAATAGCACAACAACCACTACTACAACTACTACTACTACTACAGCTGCAACGACTACAAAATGTACCATCAACTGTTCCAGCACCTATAATCCAGTTTGTGCAACGTACAAGGGAAGACGTATTACCTTCCTAAATCGTTGTACCTGGAGGGCGAATAGGCGTTGTGCCCGCAAAAAGGGTACCCTATGTAAGTGATAGACAATGCGTAGATTCATAAGGCTACAAAAGCTTTTTTTTTCAATAATATTTTTTTCTCTCCCATTAGCCAAAGTTGGCTTACGTTTTATAAAAACTGGCGCATGTAATGTAAGAAGAAGAATCATTAGACGACGTGTCGTGCGCAGACGAAGCACAAGTGGATAGTGCGCATATGGGCCAGTAACTGTCGGATAGTGATTTAATCTGATCTGAATCACATATGCATATAATTTCCTTGGAGCTATGTCTATTTGAAATGAATCATAATAAAAATGTTTTAAATGCTACTTAAAACAAGTAAACGATAACAGTTTTTTAATTCGACTACCTTCGAAGTAGCTCGTCTACGGTAAGCCTTTAGAATGGCTTCACTGAATACCTGAAATATTCGGTTTGTCTAATAAATCCTATAGCCGCCTTGGTGCGCGATGAAAAAGTAAATTTAGAAAGTGTTCCGCTATAGTTGTTTCTCGTTCCAAATCGTCGGCGACCTCGTTGGCTTCGACTTCACAGTGGCCTGTAAAGATAAAATAAGATATGTAAATGTTCGAATATGGTAGAAACAAGAGATATCCTGAAGAAATGACTTACTGAATCCCATTGTGGTCGTACAGCGAAGTCTAATGTTTAAGTCGCCCAAAAGATGTTATCATGCTAGGTTATGAAATGCGTAGGTAACCAAAATTCTATGCTCATCTCGCCTTCTTGAGAGCCGTAGATATGACTTTTTGCCTTAACTCTGTCTATAACAATTCCACCTACCGATTTAAGTAGAAAAATCGTTTACGATCGTTAAATCTTCAAATTCAAAAAATGTGTCGACTAAAAGCGGTATTTGCCACTCGTAATTTTTCCTATAATTTGTCACACTTTCTTGTTGGAAATATTTTTTTAAGCGACTGGATCATTTACGTTTTTCTAGCGATTATTTTTTATTTTTCCACATTATGCTTTAAATACAATACCGGCGAACGGCAAACTTCACGGAATTGGGCGATGCTGTTGTTCACCGTTCGTCCAGCTATTTCACTCACTTAAACAGAATTAGAGCGCTAGCGGAAACAGCTGATACCATATGGTCGGCTTTATAATTTGTGTGACCATATTTAGGAAAAACTAAACCATATTTAGAAATGAGGAAACGAGAACAAAAATAAACGTAAAACCAAGAGAGGTTATTATAAATTATTTTATTTCAAGCACACACACATTTCACAACTATATTTTTCAAACAACAACAAAATTATTGGTGTTTATGTTGTTTTCTTCTAAAACTTTGAAAGCAAAAAAAAAAAAATACCGCCAACTTTGACACGTACAGCTGTCATCGCTCAGCGGGGCGATAGAAATAAATCTATCTCCACGAAACGCCGCCGAGCCAACTTCGCATTTCGCTTTGGCTGTGTTCGATTTCATAAGAGCTGGTTATACTTACATTGCAAGTGCAGGGCATAGAGAAGCAGCGCATGTAATTATTCTCGGCATAGAATCCAGAATCAGTCTGTGCCAGTACTCCAGGTTTTAGTTAGGAAGACATAACTGAAGAATGCATATTCATAGCCTAAATGAAGTCGACACTAAAGTTAGTTGCTGCTTTTTGTCATAATTTTTAATGAAATGGCGGCAACTGACTTTATAATCGACTGGGTTTCGACTATCAATATGTCCCAATGTTTGTATAAGAACGACTTTTCAGTAATTCCTGTAAATCTAATGGGTACTGGAACAGAGTAATGATTCGATGTCATGTCACGTCATGCGCTGCATCGGATAATCGCTTGTATGTAAATTCCATTAAACGGATTCGATATGTGTACAATGCAAGTATAACCAGCGCTATATGCTTGCGGGTTTTGACAGCGCGAATCTCGCTGTGGTGTGTACCTACGCCGTTCGCCGGCATTGTATTTCAGCTATTAAGTTGCTGTTGCTGCTGCTTCGATTCCATCTACACGCCATTTGAGTCAAATGATTTGACCAAAACTGATGCGCGTTTCGTAATTGTTGCCCATCATTTGTTGATTCGCTGATCAGCGTTGCCGCGAGCTTGAAAAAAAAGTATCAGTTGCCAAGCAGAAAAAGTATCAAAAGCAAACAAAACTGGTATTTGCTAAACTTTTATTTGCGAACAAATGATAAATAAAAAATTAAAATTCTATTACTTGTTTTAACAAAAACAGAGAATCTGTATGCTTATTTCCATATCGAAAAAAACCATATAGGGCCCCTAAACCACACAAAATCATTGCCGGGTTGTATTTCCCTTATAGGAGTTACCAAATTGAACTTATAAATATTTATATATAAAATTTTAAGACTTTATATAACAAGAAAAAAATTATTTGCCTTTAAACTAGTAATATTATTCATAGTTTTCCAACATTCATTTCTTCCAGTCAAACGTATCAAAATGGTGCATTTGTGAACAAAAAAAGTATTAAAAATGTTACAATTGTATCAAAACGGCAACGTTGTTTGGAATTGTGTCTGTGGAGCAGATTTTGCAGAGCATTAATTACTTTTCAAATCTTATTGCTGATGTTACGCTTCTTTTCTTTTGCAGCTATAGTTTTTTTCGCTCTTTTTTTTAATTTGTTATATGTATGTACATACTTATGTCACTTAACTGTATAGGAAGTCCGCTCGCCCTATTTATGGTGTTTGTTGTGGCGACAAGTAGGTTTATAACAAAAGCAATCACAATAACAAAAGAAATACATAAATAAATGTAAAGCACTAAGTACTTTTAAAAGTGTCACTTTGCGCCAAAATTAGTTTATGGGCAGCGCCTATAATCGTTCGATTCACAGGTGCCACATGCGTGCCACATGTAGTGAATGGTGTTAAACATTTTCCCCTTAATTTTTTATGGAAGTATGCCGAATTTGTTTGACCACATATCTACGTATTGCCCGTCGGTGACAGGCTGTGTAACTGTACCATTAGGTATATATGTAAATATATACTTCGCTTCTGACTGTTCATATGTTTATTTGTTTTACTATTTTTAATTTCACATTTTACTTTAGTATTATATTTAATTTAGCTCTGTTTTTTCGTTTAATAGTTGTTTAAAACCCGGTTCGCCGCCGGATCATATTTCCCTCTATTTGCTAACTGAATGTGGCACAATGCCCTGTTTTTATATTTGTGGACATCACTTTTTTCTTTTCAATCAACTTGAGAATATATCAGCTGTTTCGCATGGAACAATTTTTATAAAATTTTATAAATAATTTCTTTTTCTTGATTGGCACTACAACCGATTACACTGGACCACAAATTTCAACTTTTTCTCTTTACCAGAAACGCCGTTATGAAATTCTTATGTAAAATCACCCCCTGATTCCGAAAATCAAGGTTATTTTTAATTCTATGGTACCGTTTTTGAGATATTTGCAATTTACCGTTTTTGCAAAAAAAAAAAAAAATTGGGTCCACTTAATCATATATATCTCAAGAACGAATTAAGCAATTCCAAAACGGTTTGAAGCTTTTAAAAGGTAATAAAATTTTCTATAAACTGTGCATACAACACTTTTTGCTAGGCCCTGTAGATTCAAAGATAACGAACAATCATTACCGATTTTTTCAATTTTTTTTGTAAAAATATAAAAAAAATTGTACTTTGCGGGGAAGGATCTCGAAAACCTTTTATTTTTTTGCAGATTTTTTTTTTCTCCCTAAGCTCTGTTGTATTACAAAAAAAAAATAAGCTATCATCGAAGAAAATCGATGCAAAACTACGTAAGTTATAAGCGATCAAATAAAAATACCCAGGTTGCGCAACTTCAATGTATGTACCTATACATACATACATATATTAAAGGTATAAAGTGCAAGTGAGATATTATCCGGATAAACGAATAACACCATAACAATGATAACACTTTTTCTTTAAATAAATCAAATAGTACTTTTAATACTCGAATTGTATTATAGTAGGTAGAGTGGTTGCATCGAAAGGAAGAGTGGTTGGGTTCGAAACCTGCTGTAGGCATGTAGTTATAAACATGTATTTCCGTCAGTTATGGGTAAGTATGCAGGTAGATTTTCAAAATTATAAGACACAGAAAATTTCTAAAGCCTACATCTAAAACAGGTAGTATTTTCTTTTCCCGGCTTGTTATAAAAACGAACCTTTCTGTCTAGGTAAGATTTGATTTTTTCAATTTTATTCTTGTTCCGAGTATAAATATGAGTTAATGCGCTTTGAAACCTCATAACATCTTCAAGGCTCGCCGGAGATAGTTCAGTTCATAAGTCTAATTTCAAAACCGTGATTTATTAAAAAAAATAAAATGAGTAAAAGGACGCGAGAATTTGAGTGTAATAAGGATCCAGATATGTTCTGTTTCATGTGTGGCCAATATACTATCATAAGGCGACGACGAGTGTTCTCAGATCATATCAAAACTTTATTATGGAATTGAGCCTAAAAATGCTGAAAAACCATGGACACCGAACACTTTGTGTACATCGTGTCGAGTAGAATTGATTCAGTGGGAATCAGGACAACAAACAAAATTTGATACACCAATGATATGGAGAGAACCTACTTGCCATTCAATAGAGTGTTATATTTGTCAAACAAAAGTACTTGGCGTTGGAAGATCAAGAGGAGTAACCTATGCTAGCGTACCTACAGTGACATTACCAGTACTACATTCAACGGCAGTTGCGGATCCAGTTCCATTGTCAACAGTAACATCTGAGTGCGGGGGATCAAGTTGTACTGAATTTCGCATGGAAAACGAAAGAAACGTTCTGTCACAAGCACAACTTAATGATTGGATAAGAGATTTGGAACTATCCAAGGAAAAGGCCGAGATCCACACTTCTCGTATGCAACAATTTAAATTTGTGTCATCCGATGTTAAGGTGACATATAGTAGAACTCGTCACGAACCATTTTCCAAACACTATACCAAGAAAGACAGTATATGCTACTGCAACGACATCCCTGGTTTATTCAAAGAGTTTGGTCAAACATATGATTCAAAAGAGTGGCGATTGTTCATAGACGGCAATAAACTGAGTTTGAAGGCTGTATTATTGCATATTGGTAACAAAAAGCCTTCTATCCCGATTGCACATGCAGTAAATACAAAGGAAACCTACGAGGAAATGCAAAAAATACTCAAATTTATCAAATATGAAGAGCATGATTGGAAAATATGTTCTG